GATGCCACACTGACCTGGAAAGCAGTTCTATGTTTATCCCATTCTGTTCTCCAGGTTTAAGTAATGGAAAAGAGCTTTACCACCAGACTTATCCCTTTGACGTTGAACTCATTATCAGAGTCGTCCTTGATGTTGCAAATAATGCCATCTCTCCTTTCTTTTCTTCTTCTTAGGTTCCATCGGCAGCTTTCCGAGCCCTGTCTTCCATTCCCACAGTCCGATGGCCGCTGTCAAACACCTTATCCCCCACAGAACCGTGGCCATTTTCCCCGGCATTGCCGGCCCCCTTATCAACGCCAGATGTCAGAGCCGTTGGTGCCAATGCCTCCCCAGGGGTTTAAAAAGGAAATGGTGGATCCTCGTTACAATGAGCAGGGTGTGCAAAACATGGGGCCTCCTCGCGCACCCTTGTTCCACCAACTGTCAATCAAACAGGAGCCCAGAGATTTCGGCTTTGACTCAGGTGGGTGTAAATCTCTCAGAGATTTGGGATTGAGTCCCCATGTAGTGCTGTAATGAGAAATCCTTTTAGCTTCAACTAGGTCAAATATATACTGCTGGCTGTGAAACTCTTGTGATAGTTAAATCACAGGGGGAAAAGAGTCCATTGTAGAGCCAATAGAGAAACCGCGTATGAAGTACTGTTCATACAGAAATCTCTATGTGTTGGTCTATAGGTTCACATTACCAACTTAAAACCAAGGTTGAAATGTGTATGCATATATTTCAGAAATACAAAACCAAACTTGACCTTTACTGTGTTATCTATTTTAATGTATTAATCCAATTATATAACAAAAGATGTCTAAACATAGTCGTCTTGGCTAAAACAAGGCTAAATTTGGGCTGTCAATGAAAATCTAATGGGCGTCTAAGAATAGCCCAAAACTAGACTAGTCATCAAATGAACAGAAATGAATGACTACACATATAAAGTCTGTCTTTTTGATGACTAGTCTAGTTTTGGGCTATTCTTAGATGTCTATTTGATTTTTCACTGAGAGCCCCAGTTCAGACTTGTTTTAGCCAAGCTGTCTACGTTTAGATGTCTATTAGACGTCTATTAAACAAAATTGTTTGCTGGGAAAGATTATTAATAAACTTATTATATAACTGGATGTTTTTTTATTAAATATTTGATAACTCAAACTGAACTGTGATAGTTTTATTTTTATTTTTTATACGCTGCATTATAATATTTATTTAATTGTATCATTTTCTCAATTGCCTTACAGAAGTACAGAACTGCCATTCATCTTTTGGAAAATCAGCTAATTTCTATGGCAGCAATGGTGAGGGTAAGCTTTTTTTTTTTTGTTCGGATTAATCGACACTTGCTTGAAGACTCCGTTCTATTAAGCACCAGCACTCCATGTGTCTTGAATCCTCAAACTATCCATTCTAAATCCTAATTTTTAATTGGCAGGTTTTGGGTATGACGGAGAAGCCCATCTCTATTATGATGATGCATGTGTGGTCCCAGAGCGTCTGGAGGGCAAGCTGAAGCAGGAGGGTGGAGTTTTTCGGGACGGCCCTCCATATCAGCGAAGGGGATCTCTGCAACTCTGGCAGTTCCTGGTCACTCTGTTGGATGACCCGTCCAACGGCCACTTCATCACTTGGACTGGCCGTGGGCTTGAGTTTAAACTCATCGAACCAGAGGAGGTCAGTATGTTATAGAAGCAAAACTCTTTATATTCCCTTTTTTGAGCCAGCAAGCAGTATTAACACATGTTTTAAATAGGTTGCTCGCCGATGGGGCATTCAGAAGAACAGGCCTGCCATGAATTACGACAAGCTGAGCCGATCCCTCCGTTACTACTATGAGAAGGGCATCATGCAGAAGGTAAAGGCACGTTCCCGTTCCAATCTCATTTTTTCTTCTTTCAATAGCTAAATCATTTTTAGTTTCACCTCATTATTTGTAATTAGTACAACTACCCAGTCATTTTTTAAACAAATGTTCTTTTTTTGGTTATATTCAGGTTGCTGGAGAGCGGTACGTGTACAAGTTTGTCTGTGATCCCGATGCGCTTTTCTCAATGGCATTCCCTGATAACCAAAGGCCCAGTCTGAAAGCAGAGCCTGATAGTCTGCAGGTTCCTGAGGATGACACTGTCCCGCTCTCACACTTCGATGAGGCAAACCGTGCCCCCTATCCAGCAGATGCGAGAGATCAGTGCTTAGTAGTACCATCCTTTCCTGAAAGTTACACTTTCTGAACTGCTGCGCCACCACAGGGCGGACCAGAAGAACTCTCGAATGCATCCTCGCACTCCAAATGCAGCTAATGTCAAATTGTAATCGCTCCGATAAGGAATTTGTAGCGCCTGCTGACAAGTCTCTAGACTTTCTTGCCACACTTTGTTTATTGTTTGTTACTAAACAGATTTCATGATGGGAAAATGTCTTTTTTATTTACAAAGGGACACAACAGTATTTTCAGTATAACCTTTGATTTTATATATATATATATATATAAATATAAGTGTATATTTTAAAATCTGGCTTTTGTGCACTGCTTTCTTTGTGTATTGGGCCTGGTGTCTGCTTCAGTGAGATTTGTTGAACTTCTGACAATGTGTAATGATGCACCTCAGGCTGTTGTCATTATCAGAGAGTGAGTGTATGTGTGTGTGTGTGTGTGTGTGTGTATAGCTTTGATTATTATGATCTGGAAAAATGCACAATTTTTATTTCTCCAGCTGGCCAAGTAAAATGCTTTATAACTGTTCAGAAATAGTTTCTGCTTTTGTATTGTGATTTTTATGGACAGGGGGCTTGGCAGAATGGGTGAAAAAAGAGGGTAGGGGAAGTAAAGAAGTCAAATCTATGTATATCATGAGTATATTTTTCCAAAAGCTGAACTGAATTGCATTGTATAAGCTGTACGACAGACTTTTATCACTTCTAATCTGTTCTTTTTGTACAGTGGTATGTGTGTGAATTTGCAAACCAGCTCTTGATATAGGGGGGAAACAGGCCTGAGCGCAGGATCAGTTACGCTTGTGTGCCCTTTAACTGTTTATCAAAGGATTATAGCAAGGTCATCTGATCTCTGTTCAGTACTAAGCAAGCATGGCAAGAAACCCGCAGCTCTCTCTCCACCTTCACTGTCAACCTTGCTTGTCTATGCTGGGTACAGCAGACCCCTAGTTCTGTTTCACTGTGGATAAAACTATCGTTTCATTGTCTTTTGAAGACAATTTCTATCATTAAAAAAAATTGCAAGTACAGTTTTGGTGTACACTTACAGATCTGTATTTTCTAAACTATAAGGTACAGGATAAATAAACATCCATAAATGGATCTGTTTCTTTTGTTATTTGTTGTGTTACATGCCTCAACCTGACGGAAGCAAAAACATTATCTACACTTTGTGTGGTACGGATTCAATCATTCATTGGCTGTTTCTCAATTTCAAGAGAAAGGACTCACGGTCTTGCCAAGTTACTTTGGATGGAAGAACTCGGGAGACCGCAAGAACAGAGAACACATCTTGTGAGAAATAAGATGCCGCATTCTTCCCTGGTTCTTCCTGATGGTCACATGACCTTCAATTCAAATCAAATCATTTTTATTTTTTACATCATCAGCAGCACGTGTGCTATGTTGAGTGAAAAGCTTAGGTCCTGGCTCCAGACAGTACAGAACACAGATAGTGCAAATACAATGACACTGCAAAATACAGACAGTGCAAATACAACGAAAATGTAAAATTGACAGTGATTTGTACACAGCTCATGACCATTACAGCATTCAATAATTTTTAATGAAAAATTATTTAAACATTACAGCATTAATACAACAATTTATTGTGTTTTCCCCATTTCAATATATATACTATGCATACAGACCTTATAAATCCAGGCTGTCGCATAATAAAAATTATTTTAATATTAGTTTCAGCAAATAACCACCCCTGATGTGTTTATGCCTTTATTAAGATTTTCATGGTAATGTTTACTGTCTTTCACCGTTTCATTTAGAGAAACTCCTGAGACAAATAAGTTATATCTCTGAACTTTAATAATAGCTACATAAAATGCTGTGCTTTCCACCTCATATACTTACTACTGCCAGACACTTCCTACATATCCTAGCTAGGCGTCAAGGAGGCATCCGAAACAGATGCCCGAGCCACCCCAGCTGACTTCGCTTAATGTGGAGGAGCAGCGGCTTAACCCTGAGCTCTTCCCGGGTGACAGAGCTCCTCACTCTCTCTATCACCTTGTAAAGAAAACTCATTTCGGTCACTTGTTTTGGAGATCTTGTCCTTTTGGTCATGACTAGGGCCAGACAGAATCTGCTGACATTTTTTGCTATTTCTGCGCAGAATTTTGTAAAAATGTGGAGTGGTTTTGGGAGTATCGTTACTAAAAATGAAGTATATAAAACAAAACTAACACCACTAATAATTTAATATTTACAATGCAAATCCAATTAGATCCACTTTAATTGGTAAGCAAAGCAAGTATTTCATATAATTTATCTACTGAAAGAAAGAAAATATCACCTTACAAACTGTATTGTAAATAATTATGATCCACAGTTCATGACCATACGTGAAAGTTGGAAGTAAAAAACTTGGTCTCACTTTATATTAAGTGTCCTTAACTACTATGTACTTACATGAAAAAAATAAATACAATGTACTTACTGTGTTTATAATGTATTTGAGAACACTTGTGGTGCTTTTGAGTTGGGATAGAGGTTGGGTTATGGACAGGTTTGGTGGTATGGGTAGGTTTAAGGGTGGGTTAAGGTGTATGGGATGGTCAACAGTGTATTTTACAAATGTAATTACAAAGGTTAATTACAGATGTAATTACATACATGTATTTAATCAAGCATAAGTACACAGTAAATACATGTTTTTACACAATCAGTACATTGTAACAAACTATTAGTTCCTATGTAAGTACATATTAGTTAAGGCCACTTAATATAAAGTGGGACCAAAAACTTTACATACGTCACCAAGAAAAAAAACTACTCACCCTCGTCCAAGATGTAGGTGACCCTATTTTTTCTTGAGTAGAAAGTTACGCTCCAGACTGCAGTCAGAGTTGTTTGCATGAGGCTGTAGATTAAAAATAATATTGTAAATAATGTTCAGTTCCTGCATAGACAGACACTGATGTGTTCTTAAGAGCCAAAAGTATTGTTTACGTTTTTTTCTGTGTATTTTTATACACCTCTAAAGTGCTGCTACACATTGATTTTTATAAATAATTTTATAAACCCCTAAATATCATGAATTCAATGGTTTAAAACCTTCCTTAGTGTACTATTGTGCTATTCAAGCATTTTATTTTACCATGTGATGTATGGTATCCAGCGGTGTAAAGTTACAAATTTCAAAAACTCAAACTACTGTACTCGAGTAGTTTTTCTCAGGAATTGTAATTTACTAAGTAGTTTTAAAAATGTGCACTTTTACTTTCCCTGGAGTACATTTACATTTAGTCATTTAGCAGATGCTTTTATCCAAAGCGACTTACAAATGAGGACAAGGAAGCAATTTACACAACTATAAAAGCAACAATGAATAAGTGCTGTAGGCAAGTTTCAGGTGTGTAAAGTGTAAGAAGCAAAACATTACTAATTTTTTTTTTGTGATACATTTAGCGGTGGAGCCAGAGAGGCAACTGCAGATTAGGAAAGGAAGTGGAGACTAAATAGTTGAGTTTTTAGTCGTTTCTTGAAGGCAGCGCAGGCCCGAATTGGCTAATCGGGAGGACCGGGAGAATTCCCGGTGGGCCGGTCCGTTTTTTGGCCGCGAGGGCCAGTGTCCCTAGTTCCAGAATCGGTTGCTCTCAGCAGTCACACTTTTTAAAAATAATTTAATTATTTACTTGACCACAGCCTTCTTATTCATTATTTTACCGCAGCTCTGCTCTTTTTATCTATTTTCTCGTAGCCTCGTGAGCAGGATGCAGGTTAATGATGATATAACTAGATAAGTCACCATTAAATGTACAGCTGTTGTGGTACAGTGGTTAGTACGTTAGATTATGACACGGCCAACCTGGGTTTGGTCCTTGTCTGAGTAGTAATTTTTTTTTTTTTTTTTCATTTTTATTGTTAAGACATAATACTGTAAGGGTTGTTGAACATTTGAAGTTCTAAAAGAGCTGTTTTCTCAAAAGAAGACGTGATAGTGTAATTAGAAACTGAATTGGAAATAACCTTATTTTAATATAGTCAGTGGTGAACTGAGGTGGGCCGGTCTGAGGCTTGAAACTCCAGGGCTGAAAAAGAGTCCCACTCCAGCCCTGAGGCAGAGAGTGACTCTGTCGTTCTGATGCAGTAAGGGAGTTCATTCCACCAACTGGGTAGATTGAATGTGAGAGTTCGGGAAAGTGATTTCTTCCTTCTTTGGGATGGAACCACGTTCATTCACAGAACAGTTTCTGGAGGGCACATAAATCTGCAGAAGTGAGAGCAGTTAAGAAAAAGCAAAGCCAGAAGTCGCTTTGTAAGCAAACAACAGAGCTTTGAATTTGATGCGAGCACCAACTAGCAGCCAGTGCAAACGGATGAGCAGCGAAGTGACACGTGCTCTTTTTGGTTTATTAAAGACCACTCGTGCTGCTGTGTTCTGAAGCAGCTGAAGAGGTTTAATAGAGTTAGCTGGAAGCCCGGCTAGTAGAGAGTAGTCCAGTCTGGAGAGAACAAGAGCTTGAACAAGGAGTTAAGCTGCATGAGTAAAACCATATACTTTTAGTTTCCCTTAAGTCAATTTAATGAAGCATCTGTACTTTTATTTCACTTCTTTCCTTCAACCTGCAGTCACTACTTTAATTTTCTTGTCAATGGGGATTAGAAAAATCAGTTGTGTGATTCCTGTCCAATCAAATCACATAGAAGGTAAACCGCATCATATTATACTGCCTCAACACATGAGCGCTTTATAATTGCAGCAAACTGTCTGGAAGCATTAAAAGTGTCCAAGAAAATGTCCAAAATTGTCACATGCAATGACCCAGAGACTGTTTCGATGCATGTCACTGATGAGAAAACGACGGATGTTTACTGTAGGATGACCGAAATGGCCTTAAACAGCAAGCAGGAAAAAGACATCAACATGACGTCAGAATGACGTTGTACTCTAATGTCAGTGGGATGTTGCATCTTGTTTGGAAATAAAAATAGGGTTGACGTCAGAATTCAACAACAGGACAACGTCAATGTCCATCATCCAACCTAAAATCAACACAATAGCAATGTCTAATGATGTCACAGCTTGATGTTGTGTGGACGTTACCACTATGACGTCTATCAGACATTGTCTGATGAATAAATGTCAGAATTTGCTGTCAATATAATGTTGCTTTAAGATGTTGGCTCGATTTTGGATTTTGGTCACTTTCCAACACAACCTAAAATCAACGGGGATTCAATGGGGATTAGAAAAATCAGTTGTGTGATTCCTGTCAAATCAAATCACATAGAAGGTAAACCGCATCATATTATACTACCTCAACACATGAGCGCTTTATAATTGCAGCAAACTGTCTGGAAGCATTAAAAGTGTCCAAGAAAATGTCCAAAATTGTCACATGCAATGACCCAGAGACTGTTTCGATGCATTTGACGTCGTTGTTGGACAACAAAATAATGTTTTTAGACGCTGGATAGACAATGATATTTGGTCACCTGACATCACAACCTAAATCTAAACTAATATTAACATCTTTTGACGTAATGTGCCTGCTGGGCAATAACTAAATGCACTACTGCGTGGCACCACAAAGTAAATGTAAATCCCCCATAGCAAAGTTTCTCTGGCCCAGGTCTGGCCCACACTATCAGCATTTGCTTGGCCCACATGCTGCAGTAAATTATGGTACATGACTGGACCAAGTCTGACTTCCATGCAAGAGGCAAACATGGACCAAATATGGGCCAAGTCTCAGCTTATGTGGCCCACATATACATTTTTAACATTTGGGCCAAATATTACATTTGACATCTGGCCAAGTCTTAAAGAGCCCATATTATGGGTTTTTGAAAATTCCCCTCCATGTAGTGTGTAACACAGCTCTAAGTGAAGTGAAGTATCCAGCTAAGGCTTAAATCTGTAAGAATACAGTGTTTAAAACTGTTGATTCATCTATAAAAGAGTCGAATCATAGTGCTTCAAACGAGTCGCCTTGATACCGACTCATTAGGTGTTTCGCCATGACGTACGAACGAAACAAAGTTTTTCACGTGCACGCGCAAACCCGGGAGATTTCAAACCTGAGGCCCCGCCCTCTGACGCAGTAACCCAGACACACACACACACACACCCACAAACACACGCACACCCACAAACACACGCACACAAACATGCCGGTCGATTGAAGTCACACTGCAGATGGATATATTGAGTCTCTACCCAAAGATGAAACATCAGCATTATAACCAAGCAGTTGGAAACTTCTGGAAGCTACATGCTACAAAGAATACTTCATCTGAGTTTGTTAAAGGAAGGATCAGTAAAGAGTAACTGATGGACGTCAGGATGGGTTTCTTCCTACATTTCTCAAGTGTAAGTACGTGCGGTTAAAGTTGTTGCCTCGTTTACTCTAGCTTGCAAATGTATTTAGTTGTGATTTGTTACTTGTAACCGCGTGTACTGTATCAGGTTAACTGGATATATTATCTTATCGCGTGCAAAGTCACGTTAAAAACGCGACGCGTGCTGTTTGTTTATGGAGCTCCGTGCTAGAGTTCTGCTCCCGCGATTTATTCGGAAATGTATTCCCGCGCCGCAGAAATCTGGCGCGGGGAGAGAGAGAGAGAGAGAGAGAGCGAGAGAGAGAGCGAACGAACGAACGAGCTCTGTGTACTTTGTGCTGTGTGTGTACAGACAGCTTGGCTGTCTGGACTGTATACTGGGTGATATTTGGTTGTGTTCTCCGCTCTAGCGGGACCGGGCGCGGCGGGCAGAAAACGGAGCGGGTTCTCAGGCTAAAACCTGGCGGGTGCGGGCTGAAGCGGGAGCGTTGTCATCCGGAGGTGTGTGTGTGTGTTTTTGTGTGTGTGTGGTATGGCGAGTACACGACTGTCTCCTTCGTTCGGTTATCCGTGGCACTATCCACTCGCCATAGTGTGGCAGCTAAAGTCCACGCCTACACTATCGAGCGTGTATGAACTGTGATTACTTTTTAAATTGCTGATTAGCTATTGGCCATTTCCCTCTCTGACTGAAGGCAGTCGACCAATCGCGACAGACTGTCATCGGTCCAATCAGCGCAGATTAGCTCCGCGCTAAGGAGGGGTTTGGGAACAAATGAATCACTGGACGATTCATACAGGAGTCGCTGGGATAATTAGATAAAAATAAATGCAGATTATAAGACCATGAAAGTGTTTTTTGACCTTGCATGCATATTAGACTGTTGTTGGAGACCCTTACAACCAAGATATGACCTTATTTCATGTATAATATGGGCTCTTTAAATGCCGCCTTTAAGGGCCTACTCACACTATGCCATCCGTACCGTGCCCAGGCCAGTTTCCCGGATCGTTTGCGAAGTGTAAGTGCACTGAATTGGGCTCAAGCACGGTTCACTTGGCCGGCCTTGGCTCGATTGGAAGAGGTGGGCCTGAGCACGGTTCACTTTGGCTTTGGAGCGGTACGTTTGTAGTGTGAATGCAAAACGCGCCAAAGCCCGAATCTGAAGGCGAGACATGACTTTTAAGGGACTGTTTCATATGGATTTATTAATTATTGCAGAGGCCCGATTGTGGTGTGAGTGCGGGCCGTCAGGGGAGACGGGACGGGGGACAAGCGTGCTTTGGCCCGTTTCGAGGCAACTGTACCTAGTGTGAGTACGGCCCAAGATGGTGCCACCTTGGCCAAACCTGGGCCATATTTGGCCCACATGCTGTATGCCAGCGCCGGACAAATGCCTGCTGTGCCAGCTTCATGCCAAATCTGGGCCAGAATTCTTTGCTACCTGGGAATGCATCAGCTTTAGGCAGCGTAATACTTACTACTCCTGAGTAGGGCTAACTAAAGGGCTAGCTTTTAACTCATACTTTGAGTAATATTTACAACAGTTTTACTCTACTTGCCCTACATTTTTAGTCAAGTAATGATACTTTTACTTAAGTATGATTTTTCAATACTCTTTCCACTGCTGGTATCAAAATCTTCTCAGTCTCTAGAAGTTGTATAAGGTACTTCAGCGTTTACATTCAGACTGTTCAGTTCATTTGGCACAATAAGGAATCTCCTTTAGCGTGCCTGTGATCTTTCCAAGAACTTCTCACTTTGACCACTAAACTGTAACCCAGCAAAGCCTGTGTAACGAGGCGAAGCAAAGTAACAGGGTATTGCGTAACCCAGTGACGCTCATTCTCTTTCTTCTCTCCTCTCTCCTTTAGCAGGGTTAGACTTAATCCTGCTTGTGACCTTGTTCTGTAGAGCCAGAGAATAAGAGTCATTAGGCTGTCATAGATTCTGATTGTCATGAAGAAGCTCGAGCTAACTGAATGCTTGACAAAGGATGAAGAACAATATTATTGGTGCGAAAAGTTCAAAGTTGCATGCTTCAAGGTTTGAGTGTTGTTTTTATTTATATACAGCAGGTCCAATTGGCAACTTTGATTGGTTGATGGGTTTGCCAAGAATGTTGAGTATGTGACAAAGAAATACAATAGAATTAATTTTTATATCCACCTTTTACCTCTTATCATAATGCTCTGTGTGAATAATTCATTCATTTTCCTTCGTCTTAGTCCATTTATTCAACAAGGGTTGCCACAGCGGAATGACCTGCCAACTTATCCAGCATATGTTTTACACAGCGGATGCCCTTCCAGCCACAACCCAGTGCTGGGAAACACTGCATGCACACACATACACTACGGATTATTATTTATTCATTTACTCATTTTCTTTTTGGCTTAGTCCCTTTATTAATCTGTGGTCGCCACAGCGGAATGAACCACCAACTTATCCAGCACATGTTTTACAAAGCGGATGCCCTTCCAGCTGAAACCGTTCTCAAGGAAATACTGACAATTAAGTTTATTCAATTCACCTAGAGCGCATGTCTTTGGACTGTGGGGGAAACCGGAGCACCCGGAGGAAACCCTGTGTGGATTATATTCCATCAAATTCCTAACAATTGCTGAAATTGCTTTGTTTTTTAACTGGGTACAATGTGTCATTATTCTCCTCACAGTTGAACTTTCAAATATAAGGAAGAAAACTTATTAGAATTAAATGCAAACCACAATTAACTCAATTACTATAATAAAGAGAAAAAAAAAGAAATAATAGTGTGGTGGAAAAGGAAACTCATGAGGGCAAATCACAGTGTAACATTATTTTTATGCTGGATAAAAAAAGCACAGAAGAAATGTACCACTCATTCTGTTTTACTGCGGTCAGATATGGATTATTTTTTATAAGTAAGTTTAAGGAAGGTTTTTCACCCTTGTGTTGTTTTTGTAAAATGGAACCGGAAACAATTCTTCATTTATTTTTCAGTTGCAGTTACCCAAGTTTCCTTACTACTTTTTGAAGTGTTTTATAAATTAATCAGTATAACTGAGCAAATGTTTTTTTTTTTTACGGATTGCAACTCTGGATTACTGGAAATGGACAAAATAGCTAAAATTCTTATTTTATTTGGAAAGTATCACATCCACAAAACAAAATGTATGCTGACTGTACCAAATTGTAAACTATTTTTCGTTGATCTAAAACTTTTTTATGATTCCCTCACTGCTATACAAATTAATACCAAAGCTATTAAGACATCTCAACTACTGGAAAAAATACTTAATGTACACGATTAATTTTTGTTGTTAATTCCATTGTATACTGTTTTATGTATAACTCTGTACACCTCTGTTTGATCAATAAAAAAAAAAAAAGATATGGATTATTTACAGCAAAATTTAAACTGATTTAAACAAAATTTAAAAAAATAACTTTCCGTTTTTTAAAACGCCTTTAGGCATGTTAAAAAAGATGGTAAAGAGTAGAGTGGAGTCGAAAGTGGTGTATTTTTGATGTTATTTGATGTAAATATTAATTTTCTGCATTAAAAAAACAAAAGGCCAACATACAGAGAACTGTTTTTATTTTAAAAACTTAAAGGGCACCTATGATCATCTTTTGTAAGCTGTTTAGACAAAACTGTGTGTAGGTATAATGTGTTCACAATCACATTGGAGTGATAAAAACACAATAAATGTATTTTTTTTTAATTTCCTGACATTAAAATAGAATCCAAATCCCTCCCATTTTGTTGCCCACTGCAACATGACAGAGGAGTGTGTTTCCCTGACCGCCTATTTGATTGCAATCCGCGTATTAACGTGTCTCTGCAGCAAAGCGTATAATCATATTAACAGGACGTGCTGTGATTAAAAGATCTGTTCAGCTATCTGTGATCATCAAATGTGATCAGGAATGAGTTTTACAAGTTTAAAACAATTTTAAAACAGTGCATGTTTGTGATGAACTACAGCGATTTTACAGCCGCGTGTCAGTACAATTATAAAATAAGACACTTCAGTCCCAGTTTGTGGACCTTAAATCTGGTTTATTATGTAGATTAACAAATATCCATACAGCAGTGGATATTAACGTGTATCCTGTCACATTTGCCATGCTAAAGCCATGCAAAGTTAAATGCGTGCGATGTGTGTGTGTCTGGTGTGTGCGTGCATTTTGTAACAACATTGTATGTGACTCATCGTTGCAACTCCAAAACACATACATCCAATAATCATTGGGAAACAGTAGTGTTTCTCACAAAAGTCACATAAGATCTGCTTCCTTCATGTCTGTCACTGTGCTGTTTATCTGATGCAGCCGAGGCGGAGATTGAGGCACACTCTGACAGGCACGTGGCAACGGTGGGCAGGGAGGCACACGCACAAAAACAGCTACATGGTACTTTTGGTACTTATAAACATGATACAATTGGTACATGATACAATTGGTACTTATAAACGCTCAGCCTGCTAAAGGGATACAAACGAACATTACCTCAAGTGATTCCAAACTTTTTTAGAAGTGTCAGTGGTCTAGGAGTGCCAACGAAGGTTCATGTAAACATTGTTTGAATTTATCTACCAAGAGTATGGCAATGATCTAATCAAAGTTATAATTTATGATATAATTTATGTTATAATTTATGTTTCAGGAACAATCCCACAGATGTGCTTGTTTTTTTATTTTTTTTTCCATGTTGTTGTTTTTTTATTTCTTAATAAATAATTCTCTTGTCTCAATCATCTGACACTGGTCACTCAATTTAACATTGGTTTGTCTTCATGTTCTCCTGCTTTAGTGATTTCATGTTATTTCTGCAATCCAGCACCAGCAGTTGATGACAGAACTACTAACGTTATATGTATTTACACCATATTTTAAAGCTTAACTTATTGTATATTTCAATCCTTTTGCAATTCAATTAGTTTGATTTGTTTGGTTGGTTTCACGTTTGTTTTTTACTATTTGTACTAAAGCAAAGACATTGCCTATGTCAATATACACCTTACCATGAAAGAAAATGGCAGGGTACATTATTAATATGAATCAGGTAATAGCTACGGGTGGGGAGGGGGGGGGGGTTGATGTCCTGACTGTTTTAAGTAATAGTAGGCCCAACCGGAATCTGCTCGCGCAAAATTCCGCAGAATTCCGTAGATTTCTGCAGATTTTTAGCCTATCAATAATTCTGTTCATTTACATGAGTAAATGTATGCAAATCTATATTTATTCAGTTTTTCACTTAATTTCAGTAATAGTAATGTTATTGACTAATATGAAAATGTTTATCTGATTTAAATACAATGCAGTTTGTAAAGTAATATTTTCTGTCTTTTAGATATATTATATAACAAACTTGCTTTGTTTACTAAATAAAGTGAATCTAATTGGATTTGCATTTTGAACATTAAATAAAAGTTAAAAAGATATTATTTTTATTACATATTTTAAGGTTTCAGTTCTAATACTCCCAAAATAATTCCGCAGACTTTTACCTAAATTCTCTGTAGAAATAGCAAAAAAATAAAAACGTTCACAGATTCCGTCTGGCCCTAGTAATAGGTTGGTTTTGTTTAAAATATCCTGTTTTTCAAAACCGTTCTACAAAAGTTCTTGCTGTGTAACTTTTTTTAAACTTTATTTTTAACATGAAAAGGATACGTTTTTTGCAAAGAGCTTCCACAGATCAGATATTTAGGACACACGAATAAGGATAAATACGACGAAGAATTAAACTCACAAAACATCCTAAATAGTAGGTAGAAACCCCCTTTGCGACAGTTAACTTACCTCCGAAGAGTTTGCTGGCTTGAGAGAAAGGAACTGCTCTCCTTCACTTTTAGAGTAATGGCGCCCACCGGTGGCTTTCAGCCTAAATGACAGGTTATATAACATTAGTCGTGCCGCTATAACGGCGTGCTAATAAAGAATTTCTCGTCAGAAAAACTCATTCGAATTAAATAACCAATCAGGAAACCAATAAATTACATTTGTGAAAGGACGTTACAACGTTTCCAATACGTTAGGCGTTTAATAAGACAAGAATCCAGTCAACTGGTCATCATGACTTAAGTATGTAAGCAAACGCTTGTTTTCCTTTTTAAGGGGATCCATCCAATACCCATGCGCAAAGTGTGAATAGTTTATGTAGTCAAAACTAAGTTTACGTAATCAAAACTAAACAATCACAGTCTGATTGCATGTCCACCTATCGCTGTCAGTCAGACGTCTTACTGTAATGACGTCATCCACTCGTTTCCGTCACACAGTCTGAAGTACGGAAGTGACCTGGCCTGCCTGAAAACTTTCACTAAAGATTAATTTTTTTAGGTCTTTTCTATTTCTCATAGGTCAGATCAGAGTATGGCGTTTCCCGGATACAACAATGTAAGTATCGCTCATATTTGAATGTTGAGCTTGATTAGTAAAATTATTCTTTTAATTTGATGAGTTGCTGTCGAGACGCCAGATTGCTTTCGAATTGTCCGTAGTAAAGTATGCGTGGTTACGCCCCGAAAAGCATATATTAAACAAAATACAAGTTAACATCAAAACTAACATTAAAACAAGCCAGTTTTATATGGAGAAGGTTTAAACTATAATGATAGAAACCGCGACAGGTTATAGGCTATGTGAGTATGCAGTATCAGAAAATAAGTTCAGGAAAATTCTAGAAATGGTTTTCTAAAATGTTTTTGTTATTTTCTTCCACAGTGAAACATTTAGAGATTAAGAGATGTTCATTTGTTACTTTATACTTAAATTGTTAATTGTTGGCCTCAATTATTAAAATTAATGAAGCAACTTAAAATGTAACTAATATATATATATATATATATATATATATATATATATATATATATATATATATATATATATATACACACACACACACACACACACACACACACACACACACACAAACACAGTTGAAGTCAGTACTATTAGCCCCCCTTTGAATTTTTGTTTCGTTTTTAAATATTTCCCAAATGTTTAACAGAGCAAGGAAATTTTCACAATATGTCTGATAATATTTTTTCTTCTGGAGAAAGTCTTATTTGTTTTATTTCAACTAGAATAAAAGCAGTTTTTGATTTTTATAAACCATTTCAAGGTCAAAATTATTAGCCCCTTGAAGCAATTTTTTTGACTGTCTACAGAACAAACCATCGTTATACAATAACTTGCCTAATTACCCTTACCTGCCTAGTTAACCTGATTAACCTAGTTAAGCCTTTAAATGTAACTTTAAGCTGTATAGAAGTATCTTGAACAATATCTACTAAAATATTATTAACTGTCATCATGGCAAATATAAAATAAATCAGTTATTAGAAATGAATTATTAAAACAATTATGTTTTGCAATGTGTTGAAAAAAAATCTCTCTGTTAAACAGAAATTGGGGGGAAAATAAACAAGGGCATATGTATGAGCATATATGTATATATATATATATATATATATATATATATATATATATATATATATATATATATATATATATATATAGGGGAAAGTTACTTTTGAAAGTATCAAAATTGAGTAATGCATTAAACAAAAAAACTATTTGCGTTACTTACTTTTTATAGAAAGTAATGAGTTGCGTTACTTTTGAGTTACGTTTCTTTTTTTCTTTTTTATAAATAGAGGAGCTCTGCAATTACAACACACTGTATAACCTTCATTTACCTTTAACTAAACCAAAAAGTAACTTGCATGAATCTTTTATTAATGTCAGTTAAATATTATAACTTAATATTGAAAAGTAATAAATTACTTTACTCGTTACTTAGAATACTAATATTATTACGTAACTTGTATACACACACACACACTTAAAATTATTAACCCTCTTGTAAAATAATAATTTTATTCAAAGGGATGTTGAACAGAGCAAGGAAAATGTTCACAGTATTTCATTTGAGAAAATGGCAGGAACAAACTTAATTTGAAAAAATTTAATGATAATACATATTCATTTAGTTCTTGTTTATTATATACATGCACATAGTGCTTCAAAGTAAGCATTGGGGAGTAAAGTTCATTAAAACAATTAATAATAAGTGAGGCCGGTAACACTTTTCTATAAGGCTGTATTAATGTTACTTAAATGTACGGTTCGTTGTTTTTTCCATGCTAGTAAATACATTATTACAGTATTTATTCATCTTTGCTAATAATAGTTAATGGAAAAGGTTAAACTAACTCACAGTGCATTAACTAATGTTAAATAACGAGCATGAATTCCTATATAAGTAATGCATTAGTAAATGCTAACTATGATAAATAAGTGCTCTACAATTATTGTTCGTCATTAGTTCACATTAGCAATTGCATTAACTGATGAAACCTTATGTAAAGTGTGAGCGTGATGCCTTAAGTTGAACAAGCTTTAACATGCTATCACTGGAGCAGTAGTTTTAAAGGACTTGGTTTTTCTGACCGATTTTAGTTTGAGTATTGGTCAAAGTGGTTTCAAACAATAACATGGTTTTTACCAGATATGTGTGTATAATCAGCCTGATCTCACGAGAAAACGTAAGTATTTTACGTTTTGCCAGTTTAGTGGCTAATCCGTATGAATTCGTACGAGTTCAGTCGTACGAAATTGTATGATTTTAAAAAGTTAGGTCCTAGGCCTCCCCCACCCCTAAACCCAACCGTCATTGGGGGATAAGCAAGTTGTACTAAATTGTACGAACTAGATTGTACGAATTCATACGAATTAGCCAGTAAATCAAAAAGTTACGAATTGCCATGGGATTGTGTTGGTATAATAGAGTGGAGGAACTGTGACGTCACCTTGTAGGCGAATCGGCTCCTAGCATAAAACTGGTTCCCTCGATAAAATCCCCATAAGATTTTCCCATAGGCTTTTCGAAGATTGCAAATAATAAGCTCTGTGTTCAAACACTGTTCATTACACTTATTAAGTCAGATAATGGTCACATGAAAATACAACTTTGAGTGCTTTTGGGTCTTAAATGCAAACGCAAGAATTGAAAAGCTAACATTAGGCTATAAACTGACTACAAAGCCCTCGGGGCGCTTGTCTGTGACGTCGGCACCACCCTGCAACAGACGACTTTTCAAGCTTATTTTTAGAAATATGGTCCATGAAAAAGAGTTAATCTCTCTGTTTATTAAATTATAATACACGCTACATATTATAAACAAATAAGTACGCACAAACACATATACCTATGCGCCTTTTGGATCGTTTTTACGTGGGAAATACGTCTGTTTTGCTTTACGGTTGTTGTAAAAGCTTTAAAACTGTATTTATAAATGTGCCCACATAGTATTATCATCAGACATATTTAAATAAGTGTATCGCTCGCGTGCACACATCCCGCTTACCTTAACAGACCACAGAAATGAGGCACGAGGAACACGTCTATCAAATGCCTGTCAAAAGTTCCATCATCATGGACACAGAGCAACATTCAATATTCTTTTTATGTCACGACGTACAGCGAAAAGCAGTCTATACAGTCACACATGCTATACATTTTATGGAGGAGTGTAAATATTGCAGTTATAACAGAGTTAAATGTGTTCAGATAAAGAAAAAAAGACGAAAAATCACTTGATCACGTTAAAATAACAGTTAACATGCATGTATTTTTACACATTTATTCACACTTTTGCATTACTGAGAGCAGGAAAGAGACACGCTGCACTGGTAGGCAGTATCTTCATAATATAGTCTAATTAAAATAAATGATCAAGAAATGAATCTGTCTCCATGGTCTTTTTAAGTGAAGGCATTATCTACACACAATCTGAATTCCCAATGAGAAAAATACTACAAACTATAAAATACTTTTCATGAAAATACTTAAATCCCAGACAAATCCAAATGCCCAACGCAAGCGAGCTGTGCTCCAGACCAGATCAGCTTGATGATGTATAATGTCTCTGACAGCAACTTGATCGCAACCGTCTTTTTAAAGAAGTGTAACTGATTTAAAAAATCAAGAATGTGATGTACCTGGTGTGTTTTATGTCGTAGAACAAAACGCGAAAGTATCTTTTGTTTTTGTTAGCCACAAACCTTATTTAACTGATTTTACTGAAACCCCATTCAAAAAACCCATTGACTTTGGGACTCGGAGACCGGAACTGCTAAAATGCTAACTCGCTTCCAGGTTTTTGCATACAAATTGACGTCATAGTTCCTCCACTCTAAATGCATCTGCTTCTCTTCTATATACAAACTGTAAGCTGTTAATTATCTAGGTCAAATAGTGATTGACTCACTCATCTTTATTCTTGGTAAAACTTTGTGGAATGTATGCACTGTAACAGCAACTTGCTGCAGAGGTTTTTGAGTTGACTCAAAATCGCTGTGCTGCAAGTTGCCTTACAATTTTAAGTTGTGTCAACTTTTATTTATTTATTTTTTTTAAGTTTGTTGCATGTCAAACTCTGTACCTGGAGGGTTACAGCTTAAGCCAGAGTTTAGATTGAAACTTATTTAAATGCGTCTGATCCAGCTAATCAAGTCATTCTGGCTTCTGAAAAATACAAGGTATGCGTGTTGAAGCAGAGTTGTAAATAAACTCTGCAAGGCTGTGGCCTTCGAGGAACAGAGTTTAAGTGTAACTGGATAATTATGGGTGGTTTGGAACAAATCCAAGTGGAGTAATAGGTTATGTTTTAAATATAAGTGGTTGATTACTCTATTCATTGTCCTTTGTGCAGACGCTAAAAGCTAGGTTTGGGTTGTACTTTTTATTTTACTTGGGGCTGTCATTGGATTTTCAGTGACATGATCCATATTGAGCTCAGTCTTTAGAAATAAAGTTTAATCTGTGCTTTTTTCAGCTGATGTGTGAACAAAACTTCAATTTAGACGTCATTTGAAAGTATAGACTTTGTTTTGTGTAAAAAGTAGCAAAGTATCAAGCTTTTTGGAGTTGCTGAGCGGTAGGTGTGCAACAAAATAAGTCAGTTTTGCAATAAAATGTGAATAAATATAAATTAAATTTGACTAATTTTTGTCTTTAGAACAAAATGTGATTCTTAGTTGTACATTTCAACCATATATTGGAGTAAAACCATGGCATTGCACATAAATGAGCATTAAGGTGTTTTTACAGTTCGTTTTGATATACAACTTCATTTTATTCATTAATTTTCTTTTT